TTACATTTTCCATTTGCCCTGTACAATGGGCACTGTAAGTGATGAAAGTGGGGGATGTTGGCTTATCAGGCGCCCGCAGCTCACAGCCAGCGTGAGAGAGAGAGAGATAGATAGAGAGAGGGGGTGCACCGGTCCACCATTTGAGGTCCACCCCCACTTAAAATATGTTCACATTGACAGGTTCCTAAATAGATTTGCCATTTTTTTTTAAAATAGTAACCCATCTCCATATGTTTATTTTTGGGTAGTAGATTTAAACTAGAGGGCTATCACTATGGGCAGCAACGCTGTAAATATTGACAAATAAATCCAGCAAAATGGCACAAAAAACAGGTAGTGGCCTGGCTGGGTGTATAATTCCCGGCCTGACTTATTGTCCCAGTCCGGCCCTGATTGACGCATGACAACAAATATGGTCTCTTTATTTCCCCCTCAAAATGCACCAGATTGATGCATCTACTGTAACTTCAATATTTAAAAAAAAATCTTCCCGGGGGAGCATGCCCCCGGACCCCCCTAGAGGGTGACTGGTTCACTCCCCACTTATAAAAATAGCACTTTACCACTGCACCCTCTCTATTCTCAGATGCACCCTGAGTCATTTTGTTTAAGTACAGTGAGCCTTTCTAAAATATAAAGTAAAGAGACAAACATACCAGCATTAGGATATACTATATGACTTTGAGGCAAATACTTGTTTTTGGGCTGTTTAAATAAATTGACTTGAAACAGTTGCTGATTTAGAGTACTGGCACCTTTTTTATTCCAATTCAAGCACTGCCTACCACTATTCAAAAATGAATAAACAGTTTAAGAATATCATGTTGTTTGTATTTATCTCATGCATTGCAGGCCGACACTATAGTTGCTGGTATACTTTAAACAGAGATTTGTCACATTGTTACCTGCAGCCCAAACCCTAGCAAACGGAGAAAAGTCTCTCTGTCTTCAGCTGCATCTCTCTTATTTACAATCATTCATAACACTGGATACCAAACAGTATTTAGAAAACAACATAAGGAACACATCCGAGTAACCTCAGTAACCTCATCTGAGTCTCACAATATAAAAGTAATGTAACATGATTACTTTGGGATTACCTCAATATCAAATGCAATCAAATAAATATGAGAACTATCAATTCAATGTTTTTCAAAAACCTGCTTTTCATGAGCAGCGGAGTAGCTTCAAACAGTGAAACACATGAGCACATACTACAGTTTAAAAAAACAGAAATACAATCTGATCCTTTTCCAACAAACACTATCTGCTCTTTTGTAGTTCATACAGTACATGGATTAAGAGCACCCAAAGCCTATGCTTTGTAATATTGTTTTTTGATGTTTTATCCCCCTGTATCCCTGCTGGTAATCCCCAACCAGTGAAGGGAGTATTGTGGGGAAATGTAAGGGTGTCAAAGACGTTTAATGAAGCGAAAACAAAACAGAAAAATGTGTGCATACCCTCCAGTACACATAACGAGTAACCCTTACAAGATGATGAGGTATATTTATGTTTTTAAGTGAGGCAATACAGTTTTTTAGTGTCCGGTTTCAAAAACAGCATAAGAAGTTTGGCTAATTTCATAATTTTGATTCCAGCATAGGATCTGAGACGTCTCCATTCTCACACGGTGGTACTGAGTTGTGGTTTCCATTAGTAGTAGCAACATTTGTTGGGATTTGGATTGGACCCTTAACTTGAAAAACGTCCCACTTCTGAGGTATTAGTCCTTTGTTGAAGAGCACAGAAGTCAGGTAGGACACCAGCAATATTAAGGCAAAAGCAACCAGCATACAGATGGTCCTGACGGGAGAATACTGGACGTAAACACCGTCCTCCAAGGTGCATCCTGGGAAATGAATGGCAGGAGGTATTCCTAGCAAAGGCTCTCCACTCAGGAGTTTTAAAATAAATGATCCCAGGAAGCCAACAGTGGCTCCGTAGCCGTTGGATATGTTGAAGAAAAGCACACAGACCAGCTGTGGGAACATCAAGATGTAGGCGATTTCTCCGCCTAGGATCCAGAACGCCATGACACCCGTGTGCAGGAAGGTGAGCGATGTGCCGGCAAGCCCGAATAAAACCACCGAAATACGAATCACCCACCGGATCTCGTTTTCTGACGCCTACATTGAGGAGAAAACAGAAAAGAAATAAGAAAAATGTTGATATGTCTGTGCTAACCTCTCTCTTTTGCTTCCTAGTTTCACAAGATTCCTTCATTGTCCCACCTAAGAACAAAACCATAAACTGTATACTGGTCACACAACTTCCTGTCACCATCGCTAAGCTAAAGGTGGCTAATGTTGGGCTATAAAGGAACTACAGCACGGTCACATGACTTCACGTCAGCACCGCTAAGCTAAAGGTGGCTAATGTTGGGCTATAAAGGAACTACAGCACGGTCACATGACTTCACGTCAGCACCGCTAAGCTAAAGGTGGCTAATGTTGGGCTATAAAGGAATTACAGCACGGTCACATGACTTCACGTCAGCACCGCTAAGCTAAAGGTGGCTAATGTTGGGCTATAAAGGAACTACAGCACGGTCACATGACTTCACCTCACCACAGCTAAGCTAAAGGTGGCTAATGTTGGGTGTGATGACGTTTAGTCGTCTCATTTAGATACTTGTTAGCAACCCCTGTTTTTACATCCACCAGCGGGGATTTACTGACGTATTTTATGTCGTAGAACAAAACGTTAAAATCTCTTCAGCTTGTATTAACCACAGACATTATTTCAGGATCACAACCAAATACACATTCAGGAAACCATTGACTTCAAGACGAGGGAACAGGAAGTGGAAAATGCTAACTTATTTCTGGGATTTAGGACTCATTCCTGCCCCACTCCATTGAAAAAACTTGAAATTAATGATTGAGACCATGAAAAAGTCAGCAAAGCCTCCTGAAGTAATAAATCAAGTGAAATGTGCAGGGTCATTTTCCTGTAGACTTCTATGCATTCAGACTGTAGTTGTGACAGGTGGATATGGTGCATTGATAGCCTGCTACTAGTAACCGGAGAGAAAGTTTATTGCTCGTTGTTAAAGCATTTGTTAAGGGGAAAATGATTATATATAAATGGTAATTTAGTTGGATTGTAGGATGTTTGGAAAGGATGAGAAGGTATTCTGTCTGTGCTTGTTTGTGTTAGTTTTGGAGACGTGTGATCTGTTGAACTGTGATCGACTAGATGGCCTTGATCTGGGAGCCGGAGATCGATAGCTTTTGCCTCCGCACACATATCTTGGGGGGTTTCGCGGCACTTTCCTCACTCGAGTAAAGTTCCGGCAAGTGAAACCTAACTTTGGCTCTTGTCATAATTCTCCCCTTTTATCAGGTATGTAGAATGTACAAAAACATAGCAAATCGAGCAAAACTGTAACATAACATGTTTAAAGAGTGTTTTAAAGCGGTTCTGTGAAATATTGAGTGTGTTATTGTTACTTCTATACAATCAGACTGTAGTCAGTTCACTAGCTTATTACCTGTGTCCTCAGGATCTTGGAGTAGATATTGGAGGAGAAGATGGAGGCCGCAGAAAGGAGGGCGGAGTCAGTTGATGACATCACGGCGGCCGCTACGGCTCCGATGCCGATGACGGAGATGTATGGAGGGGTGAGGTACTGCAGGGAGAGCGGTAAAATCAAACCTGTCTGACCTCGTTCAAAGGGAGACGGAAAACCGTAGGAAGTCTGGTTCCAGTCTGGGGAAACATAAAACCATTAGAGCCAGTATTTCGTTTTTATAAAAAAAAGGCCAGATAATCGCAGGAAGTAGAGGAGCTCAAATACTTGGTTACTGTACGTAAGTACATTTTTCTGGTATCACTACTTTACTCCACTACTTATTTTTCTGATGACTTTTTACTTTCTACTTCTTACATTTTGAACACAAACACCTGTACTTTCTACTTCTTACATGTTGAACTCAAATACCTGTACTTTCTACTTCTTACATGTTGAACCCAAATACCTGTACTTTCTACTTCTTACATGTTGAACCCAAATACCTGTACTTTCTACTTCTTACATGTTGAACTCAAATACCTGTACTTTCTACTTCTTACATGTTGAACACA